GCGTTCACAAGTTCGAGTTGGTTGCTGAGGGCCCTTTCTGAGAGGTCGCAGTGTGAGGGTTTATGGGGTTTAAGGCTGGGATGAGTTTGTAGCCATGAGGGCCAGACAGTATAGTTAAAGGACTTTCTTGAACCAGTCACAAGTCAATCTCCGTTCCTTGAACGTAAACTTTCAGTAAGAAGCCCTGACCCCGGTAGCTCTTTGAATTAGGCCCTTGTTAGGATCGACATGCCTATCTGCCGCCATCGGAACCTTGTGTGGACAAGCTCCCACATTCTGCCATCCCTCTGAACCCCAACCCCTCCTAAACCCAAACCCCTAAACCCTAAACCCCTAATCCCTCAGCCCTAACCCTTAAACTCTAAACACCCCCAAGCCCTAAACCCTAAACCCTCACCCAAGAATCCAAAGCCCTAAACCATCAAGGCATCTATATACCCTAAAGTGGCCATGAAGCCTTGAATCCGACCCTAAACCCAAACCCCTAAACCCCCAAACCCTAAATCCTAAACCCTAAACCCGAACCCAAAAGCCTTAAATCTGACCCTAAACTGTAAGCCCCAAAACCCTAAACCTTAAACCCGAACCCAAAAGCCTTAAATCTGACCCTAAACCCTAAGCCCCAAACCCCCAAAGCGGCTCGTCGTCAGGGCCGGGGCTGCGCTCTGAGTGAAGCTCGGGAAAGGCTTCGACTGGATCTTCCTCCATAGGGTTTAGGGTTTGGGGTTTAGGGTTTAGGGTTTAGGGTTTGGGGTTTGGGGTTTGCGGTTTGGGGTTTAGGGTTTATAAGGGTTTAGGGTTTGGGGTTTCGGGTTCAGGGTTTTTTTGTTTAGGGTTTAGGGTTTGGGGTGTGGGGTTTGGGGTTTGGGGTTTAGGGTTTAAGGAACTTGAACTGAAGTTACCATAATAGGGAAACCCTATGAAGGAACTTGATTTACGTAACCATAATGGGGATATATTGCAAATAATAGCAAGGTTTCCTAGGTATAAATAGTAGCTTAATTCATAAGTTTCCATGATGGGGATATGATATATGGAAAATAACAATGGGGTTGCCATATTGCAATATATGAGTTTTAAGCTCCTTAACACCAGCCCAGAGTCTGCTGAACCAACGGCGCGACCTCCAAACTCTCTTCGCGGCCCTCAGGGCCCTTCCAGAGCTTGTGGAAGCGGTAGTAGAGTGGCGTCTTGATCTTCGTATACCTGGGTCTTCATAATCGGGAGTTGTATAGTAAACACTCGGGTTTCCTTACTTAGGGCTATTTTAAATTGTTATACTGGGATCTCTAGTAACTTATAGTAAAAGTTCGCCATATGGTTTCCTTCTTATGGTAACTAAGACTAGGCTCCTCAACAAGAGCCCAGATACAGAGTGCCCAGAGTGCCCGGAGTGCTCTCTTTTGGTGCGGCCTCGTCGTTCTGGTCCCAAGGTCCCAGGCTCACATGAAAGACCCAGCCTTCGTGGTCGATGATGGCGTCCTCACAGGTCTGGGAAGCTGGGGGGCAGTCTGCAAGGAACTCGTCTTTGGTGATCTCCGTCCTGGCCAGCTTCTCCAGCGCCGTCAGCATCTTGGCTACATCGTCACTGTGCGAAACTGGCCAGTAGAGCGGCTCCTCGAATGGGTGCTCAAAGCAGTAGTGCGGGTAGAACTGGAGGGATGCATAGCTGGCACCCAGAAAGACTGCACGGTCACGGTCGTAGCTCACGGCCAACTCGGAGTGGTACCGGTCGCCGAAGAGACCCCTCAGATGCGCCACCATCACCTCGAAAGACAGGGTAACGGTCTCCTGCAAAACGAAAGCTCCTCCCAGGCGGAAGCGGACAAGGCTTCGGACGAACTCGGCGCCGTGCTGCCGCAATGCATCTACTGCCGTCCCACCCCGACGCTCAACCTCCAGCAGCACATCGCGGCTGGCTGCACCTGTACCCACAAGAAGTCCGGTGGTCATGTAGCTGACCATGAAGTCGTCCATCATTGCCACCCCATTGCTTGCTGGAACCAAGACCAAGGTCTCCGACACTCCATCTTCGGCACAGACATTGCGGCACAGGTCGTTCCACGCTCTGACCCAAGGGCTTCCCCACAACTCCAGAATAGGCTGCCACAGCTCTGCAGCCCTTCCGGTCGCAAGGGTGAAGGTCATGAGAGATCCATCACCCTTGAATGAGAGGTGACCCCTTATCTTGCCTCCCATCCGGAGGCAGTCGCAAGTCTTGATGGTCCAATCATCCAGATGGTGGTATGCATTTGCCACAAAGTCCTGCGTCTCAGACACGCCCCGTTCAGTGTGAAGGAAAGTCTTCACCTCTGCCCCGCGCGGGAGCTTGAAGTTCAGTACTCTCACGTCGCATATGTCCTCCGGATTCGAGAAGAGAACTGTGCCACGTGCCTGCTTGGCCCAACGGTTCCGCCACATGCTGTTCCCGTTCTTGCCGTCAATGTACCTGATGACTGCCACTGCTGCACCCCACCTTTCGCGATTCGCCAGGATCTGGCTGCTCGTGGCAGCAGCCTCCGAGACGAGGCCAATCGCAGCCCAGCGTGTCGCAAGCGGGCCGAAAACCTCGAGGAAGCTGGCTGCAGCATCTTCCTCGCTCATCGGCTCCTTGCGCCCTTGTAGGAGCGGGTAGCCACACAAGAACCCTTCCGACTGGTACCACTCCTTCACCTTCTTAGGGTCCCCCGCGAAGGTTCTCTGCAAGTGCAAGTGGAACTCGCGTATGTCCATGTCCTTTGTCAATGGATCGAGGCCATCGTCATTCCCAGGTGTTCCTTCGATTTCTGTGATGCGCCCCAGGCCATCATGGCTCATTGTTTGCAAAGGTAAGTCTTGCATGGTACTCAGAACCCCATGCTACCTTGTCTAGTCTACGAAGTCGGCCTGCATCTCAGCGTCTAGCTTTGAAGGGCCACTACGCTGTGGTTGTAGTGCACAGCACGACCATTTTATACGAAAACGATGAAGATTCTGACTGAACCACTAGAACTTGCATCTTCAGCCGTTGTAAAATGCGTACCAATGCGTACCAACATCAACCGCTTGTCGCGCGAACTCATCACATGGTTAGTTTCTCGATATGATGCTGAACACACACGTGTTCAAGTACAACGGGTCCGGAAGGAAAACCTAAAACGGTCAAGCCTTGAACATCTAGGTATAAAATGAGTTCTATAGAACTTTGACTATCGAGAAACGGCCGAAAATCTCAGCCCTGCCGGCAGATGTAGCACTTGCTGCCCAAGGCACATGAGCCTTCTTCAGCTCTGGGGCATCCCCTTGGCTGAGCCGAGCAACTATGGCACTCTGCGAGATCTGAAAAAGGCCTTGGGCTGTCACCTAAATAGGGGCCTTAATAGTTAGAATAGGGTTTGGGGGGGGTATATTATGCTATAATTATAATAAGGAGCCCCCTGAAAACCCTATTCTGATTATTAAGGCCCTTACATTACTACTACTCGGAATACTCGAGTGCTGCTCACCTCCCAATAACATGCACAGTAGGAACCCTAAACCCTATGATGCTCCGGGAAGATCTTAGAATTACAAGTCTAAAGGCTTATGAGATGCCTAGCCCGTTCGTGTCTCACATTAGGAGCAAAGGAACCAGACCCAGCATGTAATATAGGGGCCTTAATACTTAGAATAAGGTTTTGGGGCAAAATTTTAATAAGGCACACCCTCCCCACCCCCCAAAAAATAGTATAGGTAATTACTGAGGCCCCTATATTAGGACTTAGGGCTTGTAACAGGGGCTTCGGTTTGCACGATTGCAAGGAACATGGAAAGGACTTCGCACTAGTCACTAGTCTGCGCCATCTCGTTGCCTAAAGCCTCTCTCTATTCATGTTTAAACTGACACAGACAAATGTAGGATGTACACATACATGTAAATGGTTGATATGCGACTACGATGCATTCATGTCTGTATGTATGGGTATGAATGGATGTACCGATGTATGCATGTATCTGTATGCCTGTAGATTTGTAGATATGCATATCATACGTCTTTTACCCTATAACGCCCTAAGCCATCATGGGACTAGGTCGTTGCAGCCGGCTCGGATCTATAATGGGACAGTGAAGCTCCCAACCCAAGCTTTTAGGCTCAACTCTGCAGGTGCCTCAATCATCAGCATCGGATTTTGGGATTTGCAAAAATTCTACAACATCTAGGGACGATAAAGCGATGCTATAACGAATGCTAGGTGTATTGGCCGTCAGTGCTGAAGAATAACACTAAGGTCAATACAGAAAGTAACGATTGCCATCCGAACGATAGCAACGCCGGCTGGTGCCCAGCAGAGATAGCAATGATAAGTGGTAGGATGAAGTGTCTACAGTCAAACAACTCAAACCGTAACCCTTGCTTCCTGATGTGGGTCTGCGGGCTGAATAATCAGGAAGGAGGCCATCGAATACGAAGATGGGTTTGAAGCCAAGCTCCAGCAACCTGAACGCAGGGCGCTTGAAGCTTTCGACTCATGCTCGACGCAACCACGCAAGGAAGCAAAGACTGGTCTGTTCAACCTCACGGGTTCCCGGAACTCCCGATGCAGCAGTAGCCCTAAGGGTCCATGTTCCCAAATAATACATACTTAGGCCTTATTGTAGTCCCTATATGGGTACTTTACCCACCTAGCCATGAACCAACTCAGGCAAGGCATTCGGACACATCCCCAACACGACAAGAAACCGAATCACTGCTGCACACCCTAAATCGCCTAGATCTGTCAGGAAAACATGCACTTGAGGCGGACAACGACCCTGCCTGACAGAATCCGAAAAGCACAGCAGACCGGCTGGATCTGTTGCGCGCATGCGACATTCAATTCTAAGCTGCGCGCATGCTGTCGCTTCTAATGTAGGGGCCTTAATATTCGAATAGGGTTTTGGGGCCCATTATACTATAATCATAATGAGGAGCCCCCAAAATAGTATTATTATTATTCGGACGGTGCAAAGTTCGAGTCGAACGTACCGCTAGCACGATGAATTCAAGTGAAACAAACACGGAGTGACGAACAAGAAGAAGGCAGATTCGCCATGTGCTCAAGCCACTCCAAAAGCGGGGCGCCTTGGCCCTTAGGGAAGGGGAAGAGGAGAACACTGAGCCTGCCGATCCGAGCGAAGTCCACTGCTGCTTTAATCCAAGTCAAAGTCGAGCGGACCCAGGAAAGGTGCTCACGCTGACGCTTGAGGGGACAGCTGGACGGGCGCCAAAAGGGGGCACAACACATGCCTGGCGCAGGGAAGTCCACAACAAGACAGGCATAAGGCCCCAGCTCACATTCCTCTGTTCCAAAGCCGACCCGCATCCAGCCCGAGGAAGAGACGGGCCGATAGGTATCAACGCTGCACAACGAAGCACGTCCGACCAGCAAGGAGGGAAGAGACGAAGGCAGCTGTCTCAGCACGCAACCCTCCAACAGAGGGGCGTAGCTATCCTCGGTCTCTGCCTCGAACTCTTTGGCCGCGTGGGAAGCCCTATCGCAAAGAAGCTCGACGTCAAGACACATGAGCACGTCTAACCCCCAGCCGCAGCGCTGCGGATCAGCTTCCTGCCGTGTCCAGACACGGACTGTCTGCTTCAACATCGGAAAGGGCTCGATCCTACTTTGGACCAAATCAAACACCTCACAGTCGGACACGAAGGCCGTTGAGTGCAACTGGGCGAGTAGCTCAGGGCAGTAATCTTCCTCCAAGGGCGGAAGGCCCGTGATCTCCGGCATGCGGTGGCCGGCCAGTCCGTGGCTCTGCGCAGGTCCGTCCGCTGCCAAGAGGGGCGGGAGCAGATCAGCGACACCGTGAGCCACAGCTTGACAACAACGAGGGAACATTTGCAAATGCCTGACAAGGCGTGCGTGCTTAGAATAGGTTGCCCCGCAGGCACAGCATCGCACCCCCTTGGCCACCCTGCTAGCGCGTGATCTGTACTTATGCGTTCTGGCCGCATGAGCGGCCCACGCCTGAAAGTCAGCGAAAGCTGTTTTGCATGGGATACAGCAGTGCATCGCATCAGTGATGGCTACCAAGCGGGGGGAGACGGGCTGCCAACAGGACCTAACACACCCGAAAAAATCCGCCTCGGCTCTAGCCTGGTTGAGATGCCACATACTGGCCCGCTTGATGTAGCCTTTCCACTGGCCCGGGCGGTCTTTAATGAGCGCTGTCCACGTGTCCCAATGTTCCATGACCGGTCCGATAGAGGTGGTGGCACCCACCGCATCTTGAAACCAGTCGATGGCTCGTACAAAGGCTCCTATCGCTCGGGGGGAGTTCTGCAGGAGCGCCCATGCTGCGTCAGGTCCTGACCTGATCAACTGCCCCAGAAAACGCAACCTCTCGATGTTCAACAGGGCCTCTGGCGAGGGCAGTTCCAAGAGGCTAAGGATACGCCACCTACTCACTTTTTGACTAGCGCTCCGGGGGACCCTAAGCATGCGTCGGTACATGTTGTACAGGCCTTGCTCAAAGACCCGCCAGCTGGACTCGCATAAGAGGGGCCAAGCACCGGCTCCTGTTAGAAGACCCGAGAGCACATGTGTGCGGAAAAGGGCCGTACGTCGCCCTATAGATATCTGGCCGGAGCAGAAAACAAGGCGCTGGCCTTCCCTGAAGGCGGCCTTGGCTGCCCCCATCTTGGCGCGGACCTCCGCCAACATGGAACTATTGTGCGTGATGCATGACCCCAAGTGCTTATAGGAGGCAACGGCATCGAGGGTCGCAGGCGGGGCATTTTCCCTGAGAACAGTAAGCCGGCCCTTCCGTCGTGTGAACAGCTGCTCTCTGGCCAACTTGGCGCCGGGTCCGGCCGGGCAAATGAGAGCCGCCGTCTTGCGGGGTCCCATATTTGCTGTGAGGCCGACTTCCGCAAGGGAGTCAAGCTCGACGCCCGCGATATGCACAACAGCGCCGGCCAAGGAGGCCGCATCAGGAGTAGTGATGCATGTTGCTAAATCATCCGCGTAGATGATGTCCTGAGCATCCACACTGGTGGGGGCGTGAGCTGGATCCAAACATTCCTGAAGATCTCTTCTACCGCTCCAGGGGATCCGTGGTGCCCAACCCTTGTCTCGAAAAGAGCCGCGCCTGGAAAGGACCCTACTAAAGAGCAGGGAAAACATTGCGTCCGCCAGACAACCACCGGGTCGCGTACCCCGTCTAGTCATGACGAGCTCCTCGTCGTCCTGTAGCACGAACCACGTATGACTGTGCATCTCGCGCGTCATCGCGTGAAGCAGGCTAGTGCTGTCATCGGACGAGATGACAGGATCATCTGCGACGTATGATTGTCAGATCTGCAGATCATCAAATGTCATGCCCAACGACTCCACCACTTGTTGCAAGGATCCAGTGCCCAGTCTGTTGCCCACAATAGCCTCCCTGATCACTGAGTAGTAGGCGGCCACCAAGTCAGTGAAAAGAATCGCGGCCGGCAGGGCACGGTGCTTAGCAAACGACAAGAAAGTTCGGCTGCAGAAGAAGCCGAACACATGTGAGGAGCCACGCCTGCCTCCAACCTGAAGAGGAGAGGCCCTGACGTCAACCTCACGCATGACCAACCGCCGCAAGCTTTTGTGCAGCACCTTTTCAAACACAGATTGGGCCAAGATGCCCCGCTGGGACTGGCACGAAAGCTTATCTGCCACCCCCGGCTTATCTATGTGGAACAAGACCCCGCCCTTCATTCCGACGGGTTCTGACGTGTGAACCATGGACTTGAGGACGATTGGCCAGAAAAGAGTGGAGAGCTGGCAAGCGAAGCGCCTACAGAGGGCCGGTGGTACCCCATCCTGGCCAGAGGCCTTATGGGGGTTGATCTGCCGGAAGGCATCCACAACCGAAGTGAAAGCCGGCAGGTCACGCCAGCGCAGAGCCTCCGCAGACGGCACCTCGCCTTGTCGTGCCAGACAAGACTTGACAAGCTCTTCTTGCGTGATAACACTCCCGCCTTCCATGCGCGAAAAGTGGTCGCGCCAGCATTGAACAATTTCCTCATGAGACCGACACAGGACCCCGTGCCTATTACGCAGCTGCGGTAGGGGCGCTGGACCAGACTTGCGGTACTTCTTCGGGCGAAGAAGCTTCCGCAAAGCCGTATGCACCTCCGTGGGTGCTGCCTGATCCACAGCATCTGCCAGTCCGACAATGTATTGCCTCTTATCAAGCCGGCATCTCTTCTTCAGAGTACGTCCCAAGAGACCAATTCGTTCAATTAAAACGCCAATGACAAGGCGCAGCTGGCGCAGCCATCGTCCTGAGAAGATGTCCAGGTAGGCAAGGCCTCGGTGCCAAGCCTGCAAGGCGCACCGGAGGCGTGCGATCCGAAGTCCCTCCAGGCGGTTGCGAAGGGCCTTGCGCAACTCCGAAATATGCCTATGCATCTGCCCAGCTTCGTCAGAGAGGAAGTTGGCACGCAATCTCCTCTTATGCAAGGGGAAAGCTTTAACCAACCCCTGGAAGATATGGTCCACCAGCTGCGAGGCATGATCATTGACGTTGACCTCCCAGGACACGGCGGGGGCGTGTTCTAGAATGCGTTGTATTGTGGTCTGGTTGTCCGGATCCAGCAAGGCAGCGGGGTCGATGCGCGCACGGGGCACGCGTCTGCGCCCACTGAAATGCCATGAAACAGTGACCAAAGTCGCAAGGTGGTCAAGCACCATGTGCCCTGCAGATATGCTAGGATCCACATAAGCTGTGATGTCACTGCTCCGCCACTCCATGGGGATTGCCACAAAGTCACTTCTTTGTAGCTCGTTGCTGTAGCGCTGTAACAGCGTTCCCCCGGGTCCATGCATCGTTTCCTCATAGGAACAAGGCAACCACAGTCGGAGCTGCCCGAGCAACTCATGCAACATGGCGCCCCCGTCGTCCTCCGGGTCTGGCTGCCAACTACCTATGTGATCACTAACGACATCCCCGACCCGACAGTTGGCATCTAAAAGCGCAAGCCACAGGCCATGGCTGCCCTGCATACTGCAGATCTTGGAGGTTTCAGCCCACCAGTCGGCACGCTCAGCTTTAGTATGCCCACGGTGGGGACCATGCCCAGCAAAGACAAACAGAACCTGTCCACGAAAGGCCAGGCGCAGCACAAGACGGGTCGGGTCGGCGTGCAAAACAGCAGCTTGGTGCGGAGGCCACTTTTCACCTACGCCAACCCAAATTTCTATACCGAGAGCTCTGCGAGGAGTGCAGCCCGAACAGTACCGCACATAATCGGCATTCTGGCATCTGCCAGCAGGGGTGCGCGCCTCCTGTACTCCGCCTATAAAAACCCTGGCATCCCGGAAAGTTCTGGTCAGGATTGCCACTCGGCCTGCAGCCCCATATAGACCTGCTGCACGCCCGGTGTCCTCCGCATCCGGCTCAATCAGGGATAGTGCGTTAAAGGATGCGCAACAAAACTGAAAATCGGTGGCCTTCCCTTTCGTGCCAATCCAGGTTGGGATGACACGAGTGAAAGGAGCAATGATTTGGGCCGGGGTCATGCGGGCAGCAGGCTCAGTAAGGCTCCAGGACATAACGTCCTGCTGCATATCCGGGAGAAGTCCTGGGCGGGTATAGGCAATGCACAAATGTGGGAGCCACTGAAAGGCCGCTCCAGCATCACGGAACCAAGTAGCCAAGTCGAGGGCCAGATCGGGAATATGTGCAGCTCCAGCAACGCCCAAGGTCGCAAGGCCGTCCGCCAGCTCATTAGCGGGTTCGCCGGCATGTCCGGGCACATGTTGATAGGTGACCACATGTCTGCCGAGAAGGCGTAAGGCAAGATGCATACAGGCAACAGCGGTCCCAATCGGATGCGGTCGAACCTGGGCAGTCCCTTCCGCACCCTGCAAGGCAGACACGTTATCAGCCCTAAAAACAATCCTACCGGCAAAAAGGGGCCTTGAAGGCAAAAACAGAAGCCCAGAAGAGGCCAGCAAGCTCAGCCAAGTACGAAGAGACATCACCAGAAGCCTCCCCTACAGCATGTAGCAGCGGTTCAACGGATCCGTACCAGCACCCGACGAAGTCTCCCGGCAACACAAGGCTGTCCTCATCCACAATACTCACAACAACTGACCAGCCGGCGAGGGCAGCACAGGGTTGATAGGAGCCATCAGTGGTGATGACCAGGAACTCATTAGGGGCTGGTGTACGGCCGACCGAGGCGTCAGCAACCCACGTACCAAAACGGCCAGGGTCTGGGACATCAGGGGGTACCCTCAGAAGGTCTCGAAAGGAGCAGGGCTGCAACAGGTCCTCGAGCATCCGCTCAGAACAAGGCAGCAGACATTGGCCTCGATCCATCGGAAACACCTGTGGCCCAATATCAGTAGTCGCATTGCTAGCAGCCTCCGTGGGGGGATCGGGGACGAGAGCATTCAAGCATAGCGTCAGAGGCGGATCCGCCCCGCCCATCTGTGCACCATGCGCATACTCAAATACAGCCTCGACCAGGGTGCTAGCCAAGAACATTGCTTCATTGCAAGGGTCATTGAGACACTGCTCAAGTAACGTGGGCCCTATATCGAATTCATCAATCTGCCGGCGTAGCACTGCGCCCGCCCGAGGCAACGCGCGACATGGCGTGGGGATGGGTCGCGGATCGCCGTGTCTCTCGTCAGCACGCCTGCTGCAAACCTGGTGAGGGAAAGGGGTGAAGCTGGGGGGCTCAGAAGAATGAGCGTCAACTTGAAAACCCGAGCTCCACATTTCAACACAGTCACCAGACTCAACGGCACGGAGCGACGAGGAGGGTGCGTGAGCTAGAGGGGGCATCTGCATTGCGACAACAGGCCGCACCCCCAAGCAAAACAGAAGAAGAATGCAGGTGGCCACACGGCTGCGCATAAGGAGACCACAGCCAGCCGCAAGACACAACAAAGTCCGGGTCAACGTCTCCGCCGTGGTGGGCGCACCACCTGTGTCGGCAAGACGCGGCGACCTGCTCCTATCTGAGGCCTCATTGCCTCCCTCACTGTCCTCGCCGTCTTCAGAGGGATCACCTCCCCGAGCAGTGTCATCCATGACGTCATCGTCATCACTGTCCGTCCACGCTTCTGGGATGGGATCAGCTCGACGGACAAACTCGACTCGGATCACGAGTCCCTCCGAGCATCTCACGTAACGGAGCCCATCATCATGCACAACCGTGTCCTCTGAGATGGTCACTTGAAAGCCGTCGGGACAGCTAGCTGCGAAACGAGCAAGGAGGGGAGACAGAGGCAGCAGGGACCCGTGCAACAGGATCCACTCAATATCCTGAAGCAGCGGCCGAGTATCAATCACAACAATGGTGTGAGTAGGGGAAGCATGGGGCCTACCCGTGGGCCTAGCAACGCGTTGCGTGGCAACCAGCACTGCACTACTGGTCCAACCCCTCCAACAATGGTCAGAAATGCGAGGGGACGCAGCCCGGATAGTAAGCCGTGCCGGCTCACACTCGATTGCCAAAGCAATTTCAGTACGGAGCTGTCGTCCGTCAGCAGGGGCAGGGACGCGGAAGGCATCCACGTCATCAAGTACCCAAAAAGCTGCCTCGTCATGTACCGGAAGATCCGCTTGGATATCCCAACCTCTAGCCTCTTGACACATCTCACTGAGGGCGGGCCCATGCTGGTAGGGGGAACCATACGGCACAAGTGCGATACAATCTCCAGAGACCAGTGTGACAGACTGTCCGCGAGCAAGCGCCCATGGGATGGCACTTACAAACACATGTACAAGGGCACCTGACCCCAGACCGGCAACAACCAAAATATCCTCTCTCCGCATCCGATCCGGGACAGCGGCAGCATACACAACACCACCCATCTGTAGCAGATCGAAAAGAACAACAGTTCGACTCACCGCCCACACTGGAAGAGCAAGCAGAGTGGCAAAACGCTCGCTGGGTTGTGAACGAACAGGGACCAGCACAGGGAACAAGCGTCGGCGTGGCCCGCTACGGACCGCCTGTACACACTGCAACACCTCCGCAACCTCGGCCCCCAATCGGAAAGAGGCGACGAAAGCCTCGCATGTATATCCAGGAACGAAAACGACAAAAAGACCTTCGATCCATTCCTCGGGAGCATTCTCAACAGCTTCAGGAGGTCCTTCAAGAGCTGGCGGAGGCAAATGCCCCGGCTCCCAAGGCCTGCCATACCCATCTAAGCTTTGCCGCAGATGAAACGGTCCGGCACGAGTGGGGTTGGACATCACTTCCGCAAGACGCGGTTGTTCCGGCCCTTTACACGTCAGGGGACAAATCAACGGCCCAAACTTGGAGTGGCAACAATATGCCTCCAACCGGCTAACATGTAGCAGGCTGCGTGCAGCAGGATCCAGCAAACTGCTGCACCACTCACACAGAGAGAATTGCTTCTTGATGGGTTCCTGTCGCCAGGTATACGCCGATACCTCCGGCCCAGAAGGGGAACGGCTTCGATCACGCTGGCAGTCTGCAGCACTGCTTTCGACTGTCGGGACCCCATGGTGCGCATGAAACACCAACTGCGGCCCATCCAGAGGATCCGGGAGGTCCTCGTCTCCCTCCTCCGTGTCGTCCTCATCATCATCAGGAGGTCCTTCATCGCCTCCTGGGTTGGATCCTGAACCTGATCCAGACCCTGCTCCCGGGACTGAAAAAGCGTGAAAATATACGTGCGCACTCCCATCTACAACCAAGTCGGGCCATGAGAGCTGCCCCTCAGACGCATTAAGATGGTATCCATCAGGAAGTCGTACACGCGCATACGCAAGGACACTGGGCACATGTACCGCCATTGCATGAGAAAAATAAGCAATTGGACGCACACCGATGGGGCGCAGGTCACAGAGGACGAAAATATCCCGACGCTGCCGAAAGGACGTCTCATCATCCATGCGAGGAATGCGCACAACATGTATGCACTTGTTACAAGCTTGCCCTTGCACGTCCAGATCAGGCGTATGAAACACCCGGATAGAAAGGGCAGCTTCGGGCAGCCGAAGCAGGTCACTTACAGCGACACAGGCCGACCGAGCCGGGAAAGAATCGCTGTAGAGGACGGTTCGCTCCCCTTCAAAAAGCACACAGAACCCAGGCGTGGACGTCTCACAAGGCAGGTGTTGCAGGCGATCCCATACGGAATCTTCTCGCAGGAGAGACTGAATAAGGAGAGGAGGCGAGGCCCGCTCTCCCCGAGGCAGGGCACACACAACCCAACCTGGCTGCAGCTCAACCTCCCTTTGCGGGTCGCAGGGCTCAGTGCCAACACCGACAAAGAGTTCCAGGTGATCAAGGTCAGCACGGGTCTGAGGCCGAATGAAGCCAAGCAGGGCCTCATAATCAATGCGACAGGGCAACACCGTAGCATAGTACCGTCCACCCACCCGAGTCAGATCCAGTATGACTGGGGCGTGCCCATGCGCGCCGTACTGGTGTACTACACTATGAAAAGCCAAAACAGAGGCGTATCCCCTGAAGCGCTGCGGCACGATCGGTACCACCGAATCCATTACACCATAGTACAGGGCTCGTCGCAAATCCAACACGGCAGACAGGAGCCCATCAACGCCTTCATTGCGGTTGAAGAAGAGGGCCCAGTGTGTAGACTGATAGTGAGGCGCCAACACAGTCACACCAAGCCAATCACGGGACGAGCCTCCATCATCAACCCCACGCGGCAGAGGGAGGCGCAAAGCCCGAGCCGCAACAAACTCCTCATTGTGTCCAGAGGCACTAAATCGAGGCGGCCACTCAAGGTCAACGACTTCCGGGCTAAACACAGGTGCCGTCACTGGAGTAGCAATTGGCATCACACCAGGTATACCCTCTCCTGTCGACGCCGAAGCAAGAACACTGGCACCGGCACCTGGACTGTCTTCGATAAATAGATCTTCATATGTCTCCGGAAGCGTGAACCCACTCCCTTCGTTGGAGGACATATGTAAGCCCGGCATCTCATGTCCGTGGCAGGTGAAGTACCATGCACCTGGAGGAACAGTCTCCACATTGACCGCAACAGCGAGACGCGGGAGGAATACACTCACAATCGCTTGCAGCAGCCAGCCAGCACATCGTGAGCCCCAAGAAGAACGCCTCACAGGTGAAGCACGTTTTGCTCTTTTGCCTTTCCCGAAGGGGCGCCAGTCAAGGGGGCCACACTCAGGCTTGCCAACGGCGCCGAGTCCCAGTAACACCCGCAAGGACACCGACGCAACGGGAGCACGGCACGTCCGTCCAAAGAAGGGGCGGAGATGCAAGGCATGACATGCCAGATCACAGATTGTCACAGTGACCGCAATGAATAAAATCAACAGTAGCGAACAGCACTGTCCGGAGACCCAACCATAATCCAGTTCCAAAGAACACCAAAACCTCTGGAACGCAGGCGGTTCGTCAGGACACACAGCGAAGGAGAGGCAGCCGAAAATCCAGGCGCCATTGTCTCCTTGATGCCCTATGAAAGACAGCGTAGGGCAACCAAACGCAAGAGGAGATAGACAAGCAGCCAAGTCCCGAATCGCAGGGGCCCTTAGGAAGGAGGAGAACACAGGGCAGGAGGAGCACTTAGGAACTGTACAAAACCCGACTGTACAGCTTCCACTCAAAGCCCATTCAGGATATGTCCCCAGAATCCGCAAAGGACCCGCGAGCTCATAGCAGCCAGGGTTCCACCCGCCTTCTGGAAAAATCCGCTGAGCCGATCGACAACCCAAGCCGATCTGTTCAGCAGAATGTCCATATGGGTAGGGGGACCCGGCCGCCTTCAGCTCCGAGTCCTTACTTTGGCTCGTTATCCTGGTGTCTCGTTCACGGCCAGCTCTTCGTCCTCCACCTCCTCGATCAAGCCGGCAGGCGGTCCAGCAAGACTGTTCAGGCCCGCTGATCTCATGGCCTCGGCTACCAAAGCCGCGTCTCCCGCCGACATTGGCACGGACAAACCTGGGGCCGCCCCCGCGGAATGAACAAGCCCCTCCGGGATGCCGAATGGTTGCAGTGCCGTGCGGGATCGCTGTCGTACCTCGTCTAGCTTCGCACCCAGACTCGGCCCACTCACAACAGGCTGCTCTGGCTTGGTATGGGCCTTGACCGGGACTCTCGCGTGCTTGCCCGGATTGCCTGCACTCGCCGTAACCGCCGAAGGTGAGGGCGCTGCCGTTCTGCTGGTCACGCTGGATGGCGAAGCGTTGTAGGGATCGAAGGCGGCGACCGGTTGTGGAGCATACGTCGTAGGAATGCCTGCGGAGAAGGCCTGTCCATCGGCAACAGCCCGAGCCGGCTCCTCTCCCCAACTGGCCGTCGTCAGAGGACCTGGTGCGCGGACAGCTTCGGTCCTTGGTGCGCCGCCATCCTCGGTCGTGCCGAAGGGGTCCGGCCCGATTCCCTGTGCCGCGATCAACGCCTCCCGAAGAAAACCTGTCGGCATGTCCTCGGGCTCCTGCATGAGCTCGTCCCATGCGCCGTCGACCTCGTCCGGTTCCGCGACCGCGGGGCGTTCGGCCTCCTGTCCTTGCAGCACAATCTGGCGGGCACGATCGGCTGCCTCGCGTCCGGCGGCAGTCGTCTGCTGCTTCTCGTTCTCGATGCGCTCCAAGTCCTTGAGGTAGAGCTGCTGTTGCTTGTAGAACTTCTCTTTCGTGGCGCGAGCGTATTGCTCCCACTGTCGCTTCTTCATCTCTCGCTCCTCTTCCAGCTTTCTCAGGCGTACATCCGCTTTGCGAGCAGCTGACACGGCCTTTTGCACAGCTTGCAAGCGTGCCGTGTCCGTACTTAGTACCGCAGGCTCGGCTCCAGCTGCTTTGTTTCCCTGTCTCTGCTGGCGAACGGGGGCTGAATCGTAGCGGTCGTCCTTGGACTTCCACGACTGTTGCGGTGACCAGGAGGAACGCCAGGCACCGTCCCAGACGTGCCACGGGCGTCCATCCTTGTCCTGTTGCTTCTGGCCCTTGGATTGCCAACCACCTTGATTGCCTCGCCCCATTTCTTGACTGGAAAGCTCGAAAAGTCGTGGCTGCGAGTGATGCAGCGAAAGCCGCAGCAAGTCCGACCGTACAGGTCGCTTGCCTCTTTTCCTGCAGGAATGGACCCGGAGTCGGGCCTTGTGCCGGCCTTTCCTGAGATTGCGATGCCACGTGGGGGAGCGACTACCCGTATTTACAGGCGTGCCTTTGCACTGGGGTTACTCAGCAATGACGGGGTATTCCCGCCTCGATCCGAAAACCCTAAATAGTATTGGTAATTATTTAGGCCCCTACATTACCCACCAGGTCAGGCTCCATGGTGGCAAAGGGCCATGCAGGGGTTTAGGCTTGAGGGTTTTAGGGTTTAGGGTTTTAGGGTACCCGGCAGTTGCAATAGGCCTGGATGCAAAAAAAAGGGTTTTAGGGTATAGGGTTCAGGGGTTTAGGGTTTAGGGTTTAGGATTCAGGGGCAAGTCTTTCCAGAGCACGGCATTCCGTGCACCAAGAGGGATCACTGTGCTGCCAGGCATTCAGTTGACAAGGTATGACAACAAATTCAACATCCAGCCCTGTGACCCTAAACCCTTGTGGACCTTTTGTGTAACGGAGAAAGCTTCTACTAGCCCTGGCGCGACTTGAACAATTTCTGAAATTCGGACCTAGAGCTTGGAGCCATTGACGCCTCCTGCTCAAATCTCAGCTGGAAGTACAGATTGACCCTGGCTTGCACTCACTTGAACTACTGCACTTCCGTAGGTAGAAGAAACCAGCACATGCTCCCCGATAAGAGTGTGGTCTGCCTGCTACGAGTATGTGCCGGAGCAAGCATCGAGATAGCTATATATCAGGTGGAAAAGCATGGAACGTCGCCAAGTACCAACGGGCATGCCACTCCTTGCATCGCGTCAAGTCCCCGACACACATGGCGATTTGCAGTGGCCTCCCCGAGATATTGCTGAGAGCGGCCCAGCATTAGTAAGAGAGACCCCCAGCAAGCACCTTAGCCCATCGTCTTGCTGTCATGTGCCGGGCACAGGCACGTTGGCCTCAAAGGTCTCTGAAATCTCTCGCCGTACAGGATTGCCACGCTTTAGCAGCCCGCCCCACACTCGGCATGCCTGTCTCGCTGGTGAAGGCGATGCGCCCCAAGCATGATGGGTAGGGCAGACGATGGCAGACAGCAAAGCGCGAAGAGTGTCCCTGTCTCTGCCTAAACCAGAAATACCAGGGTGGCAAAGAAGCAAGTCTTTGCAACCCGGTGCCCTGCTACGTGCCGAAGCAAACATCGACATAGCTATATGTCAGGTGAAAAACATCTACAATCGCCAGGTACCAACGGGCATGCTACTCCTTGCATCGCGCCAAGACCCCGACACACACGGCGATTTGCAGTGGCCTCCCCGAGATATTGCTGCCAGCGGCCCAGCATTAGCCAGCTGTAAGCGAGACCCCCAGCAAGCACCTTAGCCCATCGTCTTGCTGTCATGTGCCGGGCACAGGCACGTTGGCCTCAAAGGTCTCTGCAATCTCTCACCGTACAGGATTGCCACGCTTTAGCAGCGCGCCCCACACTCGGCCAATAGTGTGACATGCCTGTCTCGCTGGTGAAGGCGATGCGCCCCATTCATGATGGGTAGGGCAGACGATGGCAGACAACAAAGGGTGAATAGATGTGCATAGTGTCACTCGCTTACCGGCTATGCACGGGCATGCCAGGGGAATCGGGAAGCTTTCAATCTCAAGAACGCCGCATCAGCCATTGCTGAGAAGGGAATTAGTGAGCACGATTTTCCCAGGCCGCGTAAGTTGGCCCCAAGGTTCTCGAAAATAACTTGCGCACGGCTGATCTGGCAAAGAACTCATGCACCCCCGCCACCACTTTGGTGCAAACAGTGTGGACGCTCATCGCGCAAAAGCAGGTGCATCCCTCGTTGGCTCTCGGCTGCTCAAACCAAGGCTTAGACCAAGCCGTGTGGTCCGAGACCAAATCAATGCAGCGCAGGATGCCCTATTCTAGCAATTTCTAGCATACTATGCGGTAGAAGACAGCTCATTCCGTGAGAGTTCTGCCGAAACCTCGGCGCCGTGACAAGACCACCGCCTCTACACAGAATCTTCGCCGCTATATGCAGCTGACACATCGTGGATGACAGCACGGGTTTGCACAACGCATCTTCAGGTCTGAAAGAATCCCGACGCAGAAACAGAACCCAAGGAGCTTTGCGCCTTACTGTTCGCCGTAGGAGACCAGCAATGTGACCTGGTTGTGCGTCGACATCTGCAGGTGCGTTTACGAAGACTGATTCCTGTTGAAATCGCATCAAAAAACCCCAATAGCTGGCTCAGCACTTTGTAGGATCGCAACCCTAAACCCCGAAGCCGTCAGTTCATCAGCCCAAGTTGCCACAAATAATGTAGCGACCTTAATAATTAGAATAGGGTTTTGGGGCCCATCATACTATAATTATATTAAGGAGTCCCCAAAATAGTATTTGGTATTATTCGGGCTCCTATATTAACAGTGAAGGGTGAACAAACACAAATCTAAGCATCCAGGGCATCTTCTGAAGGGGTTCCACTCAGTGGACCAGATGTTGCCAGAGCAAGCCGTATTAGTATCAACCTACTGTACACCTTGCGCTGTCCAGTATCACGATCGGATTGATAACAACGAGTTGAACCAGCGAGAGAGATTCGGAGTAAGCTCTGGAGACTGCTTGCACAAGCAGTTTTAGGCGAGTATTGGCGCAGCCTCGCTGTGGACGTTGGCAGGTGGAGAAGGCAGCCAAATAAATTTCGTGGTGTGCAGCGTTTCCGAAGCCCATGACCGAAGTACATAAGCCTAGCATGTCTATAGCCTATAGGCTCCTGGAGATCTTACGCTTTCTCTGACACTGTCTGTTCTAGTCGCCAGCGCCACCGCCACTGCCGCTGGCAACTTGTACTTAGGTCATTATAAATTATAGGCTAGATACACGAGATGGATGAAGGACAGC